AAATGCGACCTGCATTTTGTTCACAAGAATATATGGACAGACGGACGGACGGACAGACGGACTGACATGCATAAATCGACTCAGAAAGTGATTCTATGAAGGTTCTCAAAAGTAACTATGGGTCTATCTCGTTTCCTTCTCCATGTTACAAACAAATGCACAAAGACATAATACCCTTACCACTATGTGGTGTAGGGTATAAAAATGTGGCAAAAATCATCAAAATACTGAATATCGGAAGCTACCGTTATATGGGGACTATACCAAAACGTGGACCTATGCATATAATGTTTCGCCACACGAACTAGGACCCATTATGAAATACAAATACCAATTTTTAGACAAATCCGTGAAAAAGTGTGGCAAAAATCATTCAAATACCGAATATCGGGAGGTACCTTTATACCAAAGCGTGCACCTGCAATGTCTCTCCACACGAACTGGGATCATTATGACCTACAAATACCAATTTTCAGACAAATCCGTGAAAAAATGTGACATAAATCATCAAAATACCGAATATCGGGAGGTACCGTTATATGGGGACTATACCAAAACCTTGACCGATATATCTCATTTTCAAAACCAACCATCCTAGATACAATACAAATTGCTCTGCTAAATATTGGCGCTCTACGTCAAATAATGGGGTGTATCGTGATTTCAACAGACAGACAGACGGACGGTACTTTATGGGGTCTACGACGAATATTTAAGGATGTTACAAACGGAATGACAAAGTTAATATACCCTCCTTTCTAAGGTGGGGGGTATAATAAGCTGATATTTCCCGTGTTTGCATCTTGGAATTTTTCGGTATATAGTAATAAGAGATATTTTAACCCTCATAAAATTCTACTATAGATTCTAGAAGACGTTAGGAGTCTAAATCTTACCGAAACGCCAGAAATTCATATGTATTATTATAACAACACAAGTAAGTAGGATTAAACACGTACTTTGTGAACTTTTGAACCACCATTTGGAAGGACTTTGGCAATTCTCAAAAATGCTGTTAAAATCTTAAAAATACCGAATGTAGCTGTAATATTAGGGTCTATACGACGACATAGGTAACTTCTGTCATAGGCCATTACAATGTTCAAATGCGAAACTTAAAAAAATCGGTGAATAATGTAGCTAAAACCATCAAAATACCGAATATCAGGAGGTACCGTTATATGGGTGCTATACCCAAACGTGGACCTACATAGCCCATTTTCAATACCAAAAGTCCTGCAGACATAATATGCATTTGAGTAAAATTTTATCAATCTACTTCAATTCGTTCGAAAACTAGAATGATTTCCACAGACGGACAGGCGGATAGACGAACATACGGACAGACATCGCTAAATCGACATAGAATTTTATGCTGATCAAGAATATATACACTTTGTGGGGTCTAAAATGTATATTTCGAGGTGTTACAAACGGAGGAGGGTATGAAAACTGCAACCAACTTCAGACTGCTGTCATTTCTAAGCCACTCGTCCGACAGCAGTTAAAATTATTCTAGCGACAGCCAATTATATTGTTTACAAACGTACAAAAGCATTTTGGTGAGCATTTTCCAGAAAAAAATTTATTCGTGATGGAGTTCAAGCGTGATGATGTGATTTCTTTATAATTGACTGGAAAACCACAAGTTGCTATCGTTAGAGCACTCCAGCAATTAAATGTGAATAAACCTTATGTGTCTCGTACCATCGCTCGTTACCATGATACTGGTAACGTATTCCGACGTCAAGGAAGTGGACGGAAGAAAACAGCAACATCAGTAGAAATGGTTTGAAAAGTAAAGAAGCGAATTGATCGAGGCCCACGTCGCAGTGGCCGGAAAATGGATCGTGAGCTCAACATATCGCAATATTCCATTCGACAAATATTGAAAAATGAGCTCGGGGTAAAGCCATTGAAATTACAAAAATTGCAAGAACTTATACCGCCCGCAACAGAAAGAAAATAGACTCAAAAGAGCTAAAGAGTTGATTCACTTGCCCGAAAGTGTTGAAATGCCGAATTTGTAAACAAACAAAATGGTCGTATTTACTTGCCAAGGAGATCAGTTGAAAATGTGTACCTTCGGTTGGCCACCAGAACTCAAGCGCCGGCCATAGTGATGATGTGGGCCGCCATAACATATCCGCATTCGGCATTCAAGCAACAATTTCCAACCTAATAATCTGGACTTTATAATTTCTGATTCTTGTTACGTAAATTCTCCTCTCTCAAAACGCCCACATAACGACACCTCCCGATTTAAATCCATCCATACATTGATTCATTATTAGGTATGACTATCATAGTATCAGTATCTCCTAATATTCGATATTTCGATCGGTTCAGCCACAATTTCACATCCAATGTTGTATTTTATCATTTTGCGATACTAACCAATTTAATGTTATTTTGGTACCGTTCTTCATTTCCAATCGAAGAGGCTGTTAATATTCGGCAAATAGAACACATTGCAAGTTGTGAAGAACCGCCGACTTGTTTCGCAAGTTATGGCAGATGTAAGTATTGGAATTTGTAGCAGATGTATATCATCTTCACAACAGATCTTGTTTTAGCAAAAATGTTTGCATGTGGAAAATTTGAGGAGATGCATGGATGGACTTGGATGCTTGTTTCGCTTTCTTTGAGCGTTTTGTTTTTCAAACTCTTAAACCCAATGTGGGGAAATACCAGAAGAAGCAGATCTTGCGTTGATGGAAATATTGAAATGTGCCAAGTCTGAATGGAATCGGATGTAAATTTGTCAACTCTGAATGGAATCGGATGTAAATTTCATGATTTATGAGCTATTCCAAATTTTGCCTTTGTGAGGGAGGTACCAGAAGGAGTGGACCGATATATTCCATCTTCACATCAGACTATGGGTTTATAAAAATATTGTAATGTATGTAATTTGAAATTATTCGGATTCTTACATCACATTTTATAAGAGTTATAATTATTCAAAATTTTGACCCTTCGTGGGGTAGGTACTCGATAGAGTGGACTGATGCAAATATTAGGATATGCAAAGTTGAAGCAAACTCGGGTTATCCTTTCACTCTTTGTGCAGTAAATTATTTTCCTTGAAAATGTTGACATTTTGTAGGGGAGGTACCTGAAGGAGTGAACCGAAATTGCCCATCTCCGAGCTCGATCAAAGTTTGACAAAAATATTACGATGTACCTAGTTTGGACCATTTTAGACCCCACAAATTATATATATTCTTGATCTGTATAAAATTCTATGTCGATTTAGTGATGTCCGTCCGTCTGTCCGTCTGTGGAAATCAATCTAGCTTCCGAAGGAAATGAAGTGGTTTGATAAAATTTTACTCAAATGTGTATTATGTCTGCAGGACTTTTGGCATTGAAAATGGGTGATGTAGGTCCACGTTTTGGTATAGCCCCCTCTCTTTTTTTAGTATTTTGGTGATTTAAGCGACGTTATTCACCGGAAATGTTTCAAATTTTGTATTTAAAGTTCTTAATGGGTACTTCAGTCTAAGCCAGAAAATTGTCTGTGCAAGTCCACGTCTTCGGATATCCCCCATATAACGGTACCTCCCGATATATAGTATTTTGATGATTTTAGCGACATTATTCACCGGAAATGTTTCAAATTTGGTGTTTGAAGTTCGTAATGGATTCTGCAGCCTATGACAGAAAATTGTCTGTGCAAGTCCACGCCTTCATATAGCCCCCAATAACGGTACCTCCCGATATTCGGTATTTCGATCATTTTAGCGAAATTTTGTTACCGGAATTATTTCAAATTTTGTATTTGAAGATCGTAATCGATACTACAGCCTATGACAGAAAATTGTCTGTGCAGGTCCACGTTTTATAACCACCATGGTACCTCCCAATATTCGGTATTTTGATGATTTTAGCGACATTATAAACAGATTTTTTTCATGTTGAATATTGTAATAGCTTGTGACAAAAGTTGGCTACCGTCGTATAGACCCTAATATACGGCTACATTCGGTATTTTTAAGATTTTAACAGAATTTTTAATGGATTTTATTTTTTTTGAAAATTGTTAAATTTGTACCAATTGGTGGAGGATATTCAAAGTTCGGGCCGGCCGAACTTAAAGCTTTTTTACTTGTTTTTAATATAATTCTTATAGAAGTCAAATCATGCACTATACAGAAATGGTATTTGGTACTAGAGTTACAAAAGCCTCCGTTCAAATTTGTGGTCGGCCCGCCCGACTTTTGGCCTTTCCTTACTGGTTTTTAATTCGAATATAAAATGCCAATTGTGACACCCTTCGTCATTTTGATTGAAACACTTCAAAATATTCGACGACCTTACAATGTTTAAACATCGCTCGATTTAACAAGGTCCGTTCGTGTGTTGAAATCAATGTCACAATAATTTGACATGTGGTCCCTATATAAAGGTACCTCTCAATTTTACATATTTTGAGATTTTCGGACACAATATTCAATAAATTTGTTGGACTTAAGAAGAATACTCGGAGAATACAAACGATCCAACCTCAAAATGTATCATATATATGTGCATTATTAGGTATAGCCCTCATGTATTTTTTGTCGATCATCATTTCCATCCGAAGAGACTGTATAAACACAAATATTTTTAATGTAGGTTTAGGTTTTGGAAAGCCCCTCCCTCAAACCAAATTAAGAATGACTGGTCTTACCATTATTTTAAGGTTAACACTACGTTTTGATTTCTAATTCTCGCATTTTTCAATAATAAACTTAACACGTATCGATTCCAAAGAGTAGTGCCATCACTTTATATGGACTATATATTGCAATAAGGGTTTTCATGTCCTCATTTCTTTTTCAAAAATTTCAGATTTTTCGCACTCTTAAAATTTGTTTTTTTTTATATAAAAATGAATTAATATAGAAACTCTAAAATTATTTAAAATCTAAAACTCTTATTTTTTTTCGTCTTTTTCTTTTTTTATAAACCCTTGTCGAAATATTTAGATTTAAATATTTTATTTCAATACTTACCAACAATTGGTAATAATGTTGCAAATTCTCCAGGTATGTTTGTAGATAATCAAAGTTTAGTTTAACAGAAGCTTATGATTGTTTATTTGTTTGGGTTAGTTTATTCAAAATCACTTCTCACAGACATATGTATGAATGTATTTGCTGGCGATTTCATAAAAGTTGTAATTGTTGTTTTATTTATTTATTTTTATCTATTTTAAATAAATATTTAAACTTTATTCCAACCGGAAGTATTGAAGGTAAGAATCGATGAAAGCTTTCTTCAGGTAAAAATAACAAAGTTTTTGGGCTGCGCAAAAGAATAAAGAAAAAGGCAAAAAAAAATTAAAAACAAAAGCTCAACAATAAAACGGGATATTCAACTTGAAAGGAGGTTGGTTTCATAGATTGCAGTTTTGGTTCTGGTTGTTTTTCTTTCTTTCTTTTTTTCTTAATTTGCAAATCGATTTGTTTGTGAAATAGAAATGCACACACAAAGAAGAAGGGGAAAAATCAATAATTTATTTTTGCATTTTTTGAATATTATTTGTTTTTAAGTTATTTTAATTGTTGATAATTTTTTATTTGTTTGTTTTTCTAATTAGTTTTAATTATTCAATAATTCTTTGTTTCTCTTAATAGGTCGTTCCATTTTCCTCTCTTTCATAAACGCTGAGTAAAACTTGAAATTTGCACTGTAATTTTACGACAACTGTGGCTGAAATTTTTGTTTTGAGTTATTCAACAAGTCACGTTTTCCAAAACGTTTTTTTATATAATTCCAAAATTATTTTTTTTTATTTTTCTTTTAATTTTTAATTCATATTTTCTTTTTTATTCTAAATAATTTCCAAATCTTTTAATTTCTCAAAAAAAAATCAATTTCATCACAAAACTTTATTTAATTCTTTTTATGCGTTTGTTTTGTCAATAGGAATATTCCACTAGATTCACTTAAAGGTTCACCCGATCAGAGAGCCGTACAATTTCAAACGACAGAAACTACCTTGAAGATGCATCCGTTTCGTTGCGAGTCTCAACTGTAAATGTAGATGGCTGACAATCGTAGCTCTTGCTTTGAGTATTTTTTTTTTACGTTGCAACCAAACAAATACAAGCTCTCCCTCTCCCAACCGCCCCCGGAATCCTCTTGTGGCATCCATATATTTCAGTTACATGTTACACTCCACGCATATCAGACACCCTCCCTCCCTTCACCCGTAGCCATCCATTATCCATCAACACGAGACTTACCGGCTCAGAATATTTCCATAGAAATATTGAAAAAGCTTTTCTGCTCACTTAGTGTCTCTTCTAGTGTTACTCTTACGAGACAGACGGGAGACACGTTATGGGAAACGTTTTCGCTGAAAGATATCCTACAACTGGTAATGGTGGTAAAAATGCATTCAAAAAATTTACAAAATGTTTAACAGTTTTCAGGACTAAATATGGTATTTTTTGTATCCTTTGTAACTGTACTGAAAGGGTACGAAAAGTACTAAAATGTACTAAAAAATTAATACTCTATATTGGACAAAAGAAATGAACTACAATTCTGACAATTGGAAGAGGAGACACTGATGGAGTGCAGGATAGATGTGCAAAAGGGTTTTTGGAAATTCGAACTTTAAGGTTACAATAAGTTCTAAAATGGTCCTAAACTTCTGATATGGTACCAGTTGGTAATATCTGAACGGAAAGAGCTAAAAAATTGCAATTTGATATGAGAATCAAGGTTGAAAAGTAAGTTTGATATATGAAGCTGGTTTTGGAAATGTGTACTAAATATGAGGAATGTACTAAATTGTACTAAATTTGGAACAGTTTGGTTTGGGCTGAACGAATGAAGTTGGAAATTTGAAAATTTGTATTGAAGTCCCTGTTGGTAGGTGGTTTTGGAAATGTGTACTATAAGTGCACAAAAAGCACTAAATAGTACTATATTTGGTAAAATGTGCTGAATGTGGTGCATAAAATGGGAAATTTGGTATTGTGGTGGTGGTTTCAAAAAAGTGTACTATAATTGAACGAAAAGTTGCTAATGGTACTTATTTTGGTGTTTGTTGAAAGAAAAGAGATACAATTCTGAAATTTGATATAACTTTTATTATCTGAGGTTGAGGTTTGGCGGTGGTTTGGAAATGTCTCCTGTAGTTGTACGAATTGTGCTTGAAATCTGAAATTTGGTATTAGGGTCGCTATACATGTTCAGCCTGTACATATGGAGGCCCCTCACATGCGCAATATGCACCTCACAACAATGATATTTGATACAGGGCATCGGATACAGCTCCATATACCATATACATCTTCATCCGATTTTACAGTAATTGTTCACCATATATGTAATATCAACCCAAATTAGATAGATTCTTTCATATTTAGCCGAATTTTTCCATTTTGTAAAACTAAGTCCGGTATATCTATTACACAAATTTTTTAATATAATCTCAAATTGTCACTTCTCTAAAACTATGATACCTATTCAAATAAAGTTGAAATCCTCAAATTTTATATTTGAAGTCTCTGGTGATCTCGAGATTTGGAGGAAGGTTTGTAAATGTTTACTATAACTTTACGAAAAGTAATACATAATATTAATTTTGGAATTGGGTGAGGGAATAGATATAAAATTCTGAAATTTTATATTTGGATTACTGATAGTATGTGTGTTTGAGATTTGGCGAAGGCTTACGTTCGTTATCTGTAGAGAAAGTACTAAAAGGTACTAAATTTTGTATTGGGTAAAGGGATAGGTCTGTATTCCTCAACATTGATATTGAATTCTTTATTGGTATCTGGAATTAAGGTAAGGAGGTGGTTTTGGAAATGTGTACTATAATTGTAGGAAAAGTACTAAGTGGTACAAAATTGGGTATTGGTTGAAGGAATTGAGCTGGAATTTTTAAAACTGAAGCGACATCTATACTTCTGCTAATTTTTTGAAAAATTATATAGATGTGACTTCTGGTGTCTGTCTTTAAGATATGGAGATTTGAAAATGTGTACTATAACTGTTTGTAAAGTACTATGTGGTACTAAATTTGGTATTGGGTGAAGGAATAGGGTTGGAATCCTCAAATTTGATATTGAGGTCTCTGTTGGTATCAGGAATTGAGATTGGGAAGTGATTTTGAATATGTGTACTATAATTATACGAAAAAGCACTAAATGGAACTAAATCTAAAATTTTAAGGTGGACGAAGTAGCGGACACTTGCTAGTCTTAATATGTGTGGATTGTTTAGGTATTTTTTTCAAATAACCCAAAAATAGTGGATTCTTATAGAATATTTCTTCAAGTTATATCATCCCAAAAATCGGCACTTAAAAAAACTTTTTAAGAATTTTAAGGGCCTTGAGTTTCTAGGTGCATTAATTTTGGAAATTTTAAATGATTTAAAATTAATTTGAGGACTACAGTCGTTTTTCTTATATTTGAAAGGACTGTTATTTTCACAGGAATTAAAATACCCTAAGCCATATGTCTAGAGAGGAGATATATCATTTGATACGGTCAAAATGTGCCTAGTCGAAGTAACGTTTTAGACCCTAGGTCTCTTTGGACCAAATTCGATTCAGAACATTTATAGTCGATCTAGCGATGTCCGTCCGTCTGTCTGGCTGGTGCACACGATAACTCTCGAAGGGAGTATACGATTTGGTCCAAACTTTGTACATCGTAATATTTTTGTCAAACTTAGATCCTTCTGGTACTTCCCACACAAAATGTCAAAAGATAATAATTAATTGCACAGAAAGAGAAAGTATAATCCGATTTCGCTCCAACTTGGCGAATCCTAATATTTTCATCAGTGCTAGGTCAGGTGCAAAAGTTGACAATGTCGGTCCACTCCATCGGGTACCTCTCCCACAATATTTTGAATAATTACAACTCTTATAAAATGTGATGTAAGTTTCCGATTGTCTTCAAATTTCGCACACCCCAATAATTTTATTGACCCAAGGTCTGGTGTGAAGATGGGATGTATCGGTCCACTCCTACTGGTACCTCCCTCACAAAAACTCGATATTTTAAAAAATACATTTTCTGTACTTAAATGGAAAGGATAATCGTATTTGGCTCCAACTTTGCATATCCTAATATTTGCTTCAGTGCTAGGTCATGAGCGAAAATGGACAATATCGGACCACTCCATCAAGTACCTCCCCCACAAAAGTTCAAAATGTTAAATAATTACAATTCTCATAAATTGTGTTGTAAGAGTCCGATTATCTTTAAATTTCACACATCCTAGTATTTATATTAACACAAGGTCTGGTGATACGACGGAATATGTCGCTCCACTCCTTCTGTTACCTGTCCCACAAAAGGTCGAAATTTTTAAGATCCCTTAAACTCATAAAAGTCGGAATTAACTTCAGATTCCATTTAGACTTGGCACATCTGAATATTTCTACCAACACAGGAATTGTTATAAAGACGGTAGAGATCGATAGAGACTATTCCTTCTGGTACCTCCCCCACAAAGGGTCAACATTTAGAATAACCAAAAAGATTATAAAATCTGAAATACGCGTCAGGTTCTCTTTATATTTCACACATATAAATATTTTTGCTAACACAAGATCTGTTGTGAAGATGGGATATATCAGTCCTCTCCTTCTGATACCTCCCCCACAAGGGCTCAAATATCCATGAAGCTCATAAAAAGCGAAATCAACATCTGATTCCATTCCAGACTTGGTACATCTCAATATTTCCATCAACATAAGATCTGTTATAGATATGGTAGGGATCGGAACATTTCTTTTGCTACTTGCTCCACATAGGGTTCAAGATTTTGGAAAACAAAACGCTCAACGAAGGCGAAATAAGTATTCAATTCTCTTTAAATTTCACACATTCAAAACTATTTTCTAACACAAGATCAGTTGTAAAGATGATATACATCTGTGAACCCCTTGTGGTACCTCACACAAAAGGGGCCACAATTTTCAATACTTTTATCTGTCATGAATTGCGAAACAAGTCGGCGATTCTTTACAACTTTCTTTATCTAAATATATGTCTCTCAACCAGAAACGTGAGATGGATATGGAATTTCTGATTTCCCACAAATTGGATATAAATGTTCGATTTTCTTTTAATTTTGGCCATACCAATATTTGTATCTGTATAGACGAAGCATCAAAATGGAATACTTCGATCGACTCATTTAAAGTGAAGGAAGTTGCCAATATAGTTCAAACCCGACACCTAGCAATATTTATATCACATTTATTTAGGTCCGATAGGAAATTGACATTTCTTCGGAACCTAATCTATATAGGATCAACAATTTCAATAATAGTAGCAGAAGTCAAAATATATTTAAATAATCGAACAGTGGCTGAGGGCATACATCTGTCGGCTAAACTGACTGATACTTTTTAACTTATTTTTACTTTCCGAAGAAACCTAAATCGTGTATTGCCACAAATTTTTTAACTTCAGATTTTTTATTCGACTATTGTTTTAAATATGTAGCATGTCCGGAAATCAGAACTGCCAATTGCATCTTCACATTCGTCAAGTGGTTCGAAAGCTTTCTGGCAAGCTATTCTCGACTCACGTGGCACAGTAACGTGCATCATGAAGCTCTCTTCGTTCGATTTTGTTTTGCTGAGAGACTAAGCGTATCAAAACAAAGTATTTTTTTCACTTCACTTTATTTTATTTGTTCGATTTTTTTCTGCCAGCTTTTTTGAGTGGCTACATTGTCATTTCACTTTTCACGGTTGCCGTTTGTTCTCTCTCACTCTTTGCCTGCGGTGCAGTTGTATAATTAAGTTTTGATTAAGGGGTCGCATAACAATTAGGGAAAACAAGTTGTTGTTGTGGTGGTGTGGTGTGTGTGGAAAAATTGAAATAATGGTATTATTTAAAATGGGAGTGTAGGATCAAGGTCATTGTAGGTACTAAGGGGTATATAAGAAAGTAGTTGAGAGCCTCTCAAAAGATTAAACCATATTAATATTCCATTGGAAGCATTTATTTTTCTAAATTATTACATTTATTACCACCCAACCCCCTTTCTTGTGCCTAATGCAGCGTGTTTCTTCCACATCTTCTTCGCGTGCACGCCAGCA